CATGACGCAACCCTCTAAGCAACTCTACGTCATCCTCAGTGACGTCCTCTGGGAGGGAGCAGGCCAGTCCATCACACTGAATACTAAAGGATAAAGTGTTTGCTACAATAATCTCCATTACAATACAATGATGGCACAGCTGACACACACACACACACACACACACACATATATATATATATACTGTCCCGTTTAACTGCTTTGAACTACCACAGTGTTATTACAGTGATAGTTTAAGTTGATTTATGGGCCACCTCTGTCTGTCTGTTATGCAACAGTCCTCTGCCAGGGCCGGTAATTACAGAGGACTGTTCTAGCACTATGGAAAGTGTTACTCTGGTTTTTCTTGCTAATGTCTGTGTTGAGCCTTTTACTAATTATAGTGTTCTTTACTATACTCTTGCTGCTTTGAAACATTTAAGCCATGCTACTTTGGAAATAAATACCTGCCGCTTACTCCGTAGCTGTCGTGATTGTCCTTTTGTCAAACTGAATCTTTGTTTGTTTGTTTGTTTTTTAGATTTGCAGTAATCCATTTTTATTTGGACACTTGGGGGCAGGATAACAAGCTGATCAGTGCACAAAGCTAATGCATTACTAGCACTGATCAGCTGCCTGCATTGGAAAACCTGTCAGTCAATATGGTGGTGGCTCTAATCTCAAGGATGATTTCTTACAATATATATAGAAGAAGGGAAAGTGCCTGTAGTGGACAAAATGGGTTTTTTTTCTTGTTTTTTTTTTAAACAAAAAATATCCTTTGTATTGCTGTAACCTGATTTAACATGGCAGACTGATTTCCTTTTGGAGCCAGCTTCCTGTGGGACCTTGAGGAACTGCAGTTCCTAGAGGAACTCGTGTTGGCTTCATCGTTAAGCTCCAAAGGTTGCCCCTGGGTTTCTACTGATTAGCTATTGACAAATCGTGACTAGCCTCTGCTCCATAGTAATGCATTAGAGTGGAGACAGTGTGAGAGTTAAAATGGAAAGAGAGTGCAAAGAGCAGGCCATTCTGACTGATATCAGGCAAGCCATGAACATTTGTTGAAGCAGAAAGTTGGAGTAGCAAAGATGAGAATCTGGAAATTAGTTTGGCATGAAAGTCACTCATTTTTAGGTCTATTTTTGGTCTCCAGTTTTGAGAAAATTATTTCGCTTTTTAGCACCTAAATGGTCCGCTGTGACCAATAGCTAGCTGCTCATGTTTAACACCTGGCAGGAGGTGCTTTCATCTCCAGATAATACCTGAAAGACCTACTTTGAAGCATTTAGGGTCCAATTATTTAACATTTGCGCTTTGACTGCAACACGACTGTCAAGTGACACACGAGGAGTTTTGGTTGTTGTTTAATGAAGCTCATTAACCATCAATGAGTCTGTGTATCCTTCTCTGGGTGACTAATACCCTGACAGGTGGTGCTCACACACGCTTTACTGTTACTTGATCTGTGTGTATCTCCCTTACACACACATGCACACACAGAGCAAAAAGTCAATTGAGAAGGTAGGTAAGTGCGTGTGTGTAAAGTGGATAAAAGGTAAGTCTGACCAAATGAAAGAAGAAAAAGGAAACACTGTGCATAAAGGTCCTGTGAAATGAAAGAGGAGGTGGAGGGATGGATATATAGAGGCTTGCAAGTGCCGAACCAGTGACGTCAAGCTGTAAACTAAAGACTTAATCCTCTGTGAGCCTGTCCAGCTCCTTGTTCTATCCTGACATCTAGTGGTCAAATCATAGAACAACATTCAGAGGATGAGCTCCATCATTTGGTAAGTAATATAATGTATTGTTGTGTGTTGCTGTTTATTCAGGCAAAGCCTGGTGACCCAAATAGCTTCCCGAGTGTCAACTAAGAAAAACAAGTAAATGATGGCGCCTTATCCCACCGCAAAGCGGGAAGTGAAAATGAGATCATGGAGAAGGTTTATGAGAAAACCCTTTATGGCTTTAACCTTTTAACCTTACTAGAGTGTTTACATGGAGTGATTCGGTGGGTGGAGTATAGGTCAGCCATCATCCTCTCTGTTGTTGTTATAAACTAGCTCCAGGCTTTGCTCATGCTACAGTTGCTCTCTACTGTACCGTCATATGGAGCCAAGTACCACATTACACAGTTCAATGAGAGCTTATTTTTAGATCACTGTTTATGTAAAAATTGTGATCGTGACCTTTGAACTTTCATCACCTTGACACATAAGAATGGCAGCTGGAAAAAAAAAATCTATGTGCGCTACTACAAACAACGCCTGTAATCTTGATGTTTATGTCCACATTGAGACCTGAGCTTCTTAACAATGTCTCCGTCCTCTCATCCGCAAACCAGTCATGACACATGGCTGCCACTCCCCGAGCCTGGTTCTGCTGGAGGCTTCTTCCTGTTAAAAGGGAGTTTTTCGTTCCCACTGTCATTTGACTGCCGGAGATTTCTCTGTATTATTGTAGAGTCTTTACCTTACAATATAAACCATCTTGAGACGACCGCTGCTGTGATTGGTGCAATATAAATAGTGTTGAATTGTACTGGAAATCAAATTTTCAGGTCATTTTATAAAATGACCTGTTGCCTTAAAGCTGCACTGATTGAATACTTTTATAATAAAAATGAGATTTATATGACATGAATGTTTCAAATTTCAAATTCAAATGTTTCTTTCAGATTTTGATGATGACCAAATCTAAGCTAAAAGGAGATCGAATAACGGACTTCCATGGTAGGGAATGGCAACTTCAAATGAATGCTTGTGTTTATCTGTCCTGCGTCAAAGTCAAAGTCAGCTGGCGGATGCTGTACATGAGCTGATGGCTCAGCTGCCACCCTTCTATGCATCAACACGGCAAATCAAGCCTGCCAATGTTTGCTGTGCATCTGCAAGCTGCTTTGCAACCCACCTCCACCCCAGCTTCTCCTTTTTCATGCTTTTCATAAGACTTGTATTGCAGCAGTTGAGTAATTTCATGACACAGTTAAGTGGTGCAGATTCAAAACACACACAAAAGCATTTGCTTATGTATGTTTGTTGCCTGAATAGCATCAAAAACGTTAGATAGCGTAGGTTAGATCACTAGAAATTATAGGTGTTCTGCTGCCGTATTGCTAGCTGACAGCCAAGGAGCTGGTGTACTTTATTACATTAGGTATGTAATAAAGTACACCAGCTCATAATGACTTCCTGCTCGAACTGGGCTTCATCATTTGTTTACAGCACAACAGGACTCCAGAGCTAGTCAGAAGGATGTTAACTATCAATGGCCAGTGGAAGCCTATATTTACTTAGAATAGTATCATAAAATGATGTAATTCAGCCCTTTTATTGGGTTGTAAATTCTGTTTCACTGTCACATTTACATTTTGGTAACAGCATGAAGCCCGAGAGAGGAGGATAGAGAGGATGAGAAGGAGAGAGAGCAGGATCAAGATAGCAAAAGTAGCAAAAGCTCAAAAAGAAACCGATAAGAACAGACATGCAGTCAAAGATCTGATATTGTGATATCCTGTGCTGATTCTATACACTAAGGGAGAGGTTACATGAATTTCAAATTTTAATGCAAAAGCAACTCCATTACCAGTTTGCTTTCTGTACACGTATATGGAGTGTGAGTGTTTTTGTGTTTGCTTGTTTATTGTTTTTTATGTCAGTACTGAATTGTGCTATTTTCGTGGCTTACAGAAAAATGAAACTGAAAAATGTTGTGCATGTTTCTCGTCTTATCTGCTTTACTACAAAACAACTGAGCCTTTGCCACAGGCTTGATAACTGAACTGTCCACCAGATTATAGCTGATCTGCTGCTATGTTGAGATGATGTACAGGTTCCTTCCTGTTAAAAGGCAGTTTTTCCTTCCCACTGTCGCCAAATGCTTGCTCATAGGAGAGCTTTTGATTGTTGGAGTTTTCTCTGTATTATTGTAGAGTCTTTACCTTACAATATCTAAACTTCCTTGGGTGTTTTAGCGCTATAAAAACCAGAATTGAATTGAAAGAACTCTTAAATTGCCACACACAGGTCTGTTATAATGCGTTTTGTATGTGATAACAAAAGCAAATCTTTTAATGAGATTATTTTCATATTTACTTCAGTAAAATTATGATAAGTAAACTTTATTTACATTTATTCAAAGAAAGCCTAAAGTTTAAAATAAACACATATTAAAGCACTCTGGGGATGCAGCAAATGGAACCCTGACTTTTGGGGCAGGTAAATATACCTTCCAACTTCAGTGCATTGCATTTAAACGCTTAGTTTTCCAGTAATGTGGAGGAACAGTGCTTAGCTGGAATAGTTCCAGCAAGCCATTGCTTTTAGCCTCTGTTTCCATCTTCTAACATCTCTTATGATCACACTTTTCCTTTCAGCATATGACCTGCACATGCTCCAAGCTAGTGGCATTTGCATGGATTACGGACGTTTGGATCCTCATTTGTTTGTGCACACTGTTTACTTCATTTCAGCGGAGCTATCAGCCATGCTGACGTTTGTGCAAAGCTGCTATGAGCCCTCTGAGGTGAGAATGGACAGATGATGAAAATATTTCCATCTGATGAGTCTTTTTTTGAAACATTCAGAAGGTGGACTAATTCTTTTTACAGAAGAAATGTTTGTCTTCAAGCAGCTCTCCCCGATCTCTGAGAAAAATCAGAAGGGGAAGTCTGGAACCTAACCTTGCCACAGGCTGGCTTGAATTTGGATTAGGATCGTGGGTTTGAGCTGCGTTCTCTGTGGATTTTCTTTTGTTTTTACACCTCCATCGGTTTGAGGACTATATATTCAGCTCTCTGTCCCAGGATGGAGAATCAAATCCTGGACATGGTGTCTGATCAGAATTTAGAGGAGCTTCCAAACATGGAGCCAGACGCTGGCGAGATGCAAAAGCCAGAGGAGGAGCAGCAGGACGAAGCTGACCCTGATCCCCAACCTGAATCTAGTCAGGAGACAATGCAGACGAGAAGCGGCCCTCCACCGCTGGCTGTCATTGAGTTCCGCATCCAGCAGCTTCAGAACCGCCGTTTCCTCCTGCAGAAGATGAGGGAATTTACCAAAAGGTCAGAGCAAAAGATGGACAGCGCTCCAAAGCAAAGTGAGTCAGATTAAAAAAACCCGACAGTTTGTGGTTGTTCCTATAAAAGGAAACCATTGTTAGGGTGCATGTTGACATATATTCATCAGCAGTTGACTTAAACAGCAACTTTACTTCATACACAAAAAGCTAAGAATCTAAAACTAGTGTGGCTGTAACTTACAGCCGATTCTGTGACTTGTGTATGCTCATAAAACAAGCAATCTAATGCAGTAATCACTGAGTTAATGGACCAAGCAGCTTACTGTGCGTCAGTTTAACCTTTGGGGTACTTTGTGTGATGTCATCAGCAAACATCGAGGATGACGATGACAGCGAAGACGAGCTGGAGACCATTCAGAAAGAGCTGAATGTGCTGCTGCTTAAAAAGGAGGAGCTGTCGAAAGAGGAAGAGACTGCCACACCCACAGAAAACGGAGGTACGCTTAATTTCCACACTTTCTCATCTCACCTTTTTTGTTTTTGTTTTTTATTTAAAGCACCCTGAAATCAAATTTGAATATTAATGATCAAGAAACTGACACCAAAGCCTGTTGCTTGCCACTTTCAGTCATTATGCAAATGTACTGTTTATAAGGCTGGGAAACGTTTTCTCACTTGGATGACTGACGAAACGTCCCTCCCAGTGAAAACATTCGTTCCAGATGAACAGAATCAACTTTTTTGGGAGGCGGCCTTCAGCAATTTTTTTTAAATCCAATGTTATTTGCACAAAATCACAACAACCTTTGCCTGTCATAAGTTTGTGCTCCAGGTGAGGCTCGAACTCACAACCTCGGCATCACTCTGCAGGTTACTGTCTTATAAGTACCGCGCGCTGACCGATTGCGCCACTGGAGCCCCTGTGAGCTTTTCTTGAGGTATAGACTTAATGGCTTTCTGAAGGTCTTTCAACGCTTTTCTTTGGACATTGGCTGCTTTTTCATTCATTTTTAGCCCAGTTCTTTTTATTTGACCATTTCTATAAGAAAGAAGTCACTTAATACTAACACATCAAACATTCAAGTATAAAAAGACACCTAACTATAACAGACAACTTAGTACAGAACCAATTCAAAACAGGATCTTTAGGGACTTTGTTACTAGTACATAAGTCATTCCTATTACTTTACTTGAATCTGCAGAAAATAACAAAAAGCTTGGGCTATCTCTTTTGGTGTGCAGTGCGCATTTAAAAGATTTGAAACAACTGGAGATGTCTTTCACAAAAGAAGATGTGGCATGGGTAAAAACTATCCACAGGAAATGAACGGTAACTGGAAGAAACAGAAAAGAATTTGAGCCTGAGAGATAGATTTGACCCTTCACTTGATCAGAAAGAGAAGAGAAACAGGGAGAAAAGGCTGAGATATGGCAAATTACACAAGGACTGGACTGGAAATGAAAGCTATTGGGTGTTTTGGAGTGATGAATCTTTGAAGTCATCATAAATATTATTGAAGCAGCGTAGGATCATCTTGACAGAAAACAGAACAAAGAAGAGCTTTGAATTTCCTTCAAGAAACCTGGAGGACTATTCCTGAAGACTACTTAAAAAATGAAATGAAAGCTGCTTAGAAGAAGGTTGTGCTGAAGAATAAAGGCACTCATGCCAAAGACTGACTTTCAAGCTCATTAAAATGAGCTCGCCATACTCTGTTTTTGCCTCATATACATGGTTATTTGCATGTTTCAGTAAATCATTGCTTTAATTTCCCATTTTGCAAAATATAAAGAAATGAGCGGTGGCTCAAGACTTTTGCACAGTATATTCAGAATTCCTTACATATTTATATCTTCAAAATTGGGTAACTCACAGGAAGCGAGAGGCACACGGATGTATAATTAGTACTGAAAACCACAGATGAAAAATGCTGGATTAAACTGTCCCTTTAGAAACGACTGCCCCTCCCCAAGCCTGGTTCTGCTGGACGTTTCTTCCTCTTAAAAGGGAGTTTTTTCTTCCCACTTTCATCAATGTTCCTGCTCATAGAGGGTCATATGATTATTTTCTTTGTGTTATTTTAGGATATTTTCCTTACAATGTAAAGCGACTTGAGGCATATAAACAAAACTAAATTGAATGGATTTGAAAGTATGAAAACTTTCATACTGTTACCAGTTTATGAAGAAAATAATATTCTTTTCCCTTTTTGTGTCCGTCTGTGTTTAATATATAATGATACACTGTCAGATTTTCATGTTAAACATATTAAAATAATCAGTGAAAGTGATGTAAAGGTAATCTGAAATGGAGATAATGGCATTTTAGGGGAGGGGCTTCATAGAGTAATGCGTTCATGGCTGAAGTGAAATAGACAGAATGAGATTTTCTTTTAAACGTGGCCCATTTAAAGCTAAAGTTTGAACTGCTTTTGTTTTATTCTTTTTTAATCACCAAGTTCATCAAGCAGACCCCAGTTTTTATAAAAATGAAACACCCTGGGGAGGGATCTACACGCTGCCGCCTGCAGGGGTGACCCAGGAGGAGAGCATAGAACCCGAAGACCCCGAAGACCCTGAAGACCCTGAAGACCCTGTAGAACCTGAAGAACCTGTAGAAACTGAACCTGAAATACCAATAGAAACACCAGAAGATGACGTTGCTCCAGGTGTGTTACACTTTTCCTCTACGACACAAACTAGTGTTTATATATGTCGACACCTGGTTCCCTCTTTCTTTGAATATTGTGTAACTTTTTGGACAGATATTGCTGCAATGAAATATTTCCTTGTATACTGAATGCATCTGTTTACTAGCTGTACTGTATGAACACGCCGACACCTGCATTTGAATAAAACCAGGGGGCAGTTTTGGTTTTTAATTAAGCTCATTCCAGTTTTTCTCTCTTTTTGTCTCTTTCCCCGGCAAAGTTGAAACTCTGTGCAGAGACGCCGGGCTCACCCAGTGTCCGACCTGCAAAGAGCTCATCATCACACAAACCCAAAGGAAAGTGGGCGAGACAACTTGGTTAGCGTGCTGCTTGTGCTCCATGTTAGGGTACGTCTTCTACCTGACCAGGATGATGTCAAAAAATTCATTCGTTAAGAACGCATGCACATGATACAAGGCACACTGTAGCACTAACTAATAGCACCAAAAACAGTCGCCTCAGATTGATCTGTGACCTTTCCTTCTCTTTCTAACAGCTGTGTTGGCGGCTGCTGTATAATCCCTTTCTGCATGAAAAACTTCAAGGACGTTCTTCACCAGTGTCCACACTGTCAGTCCACAATACACACCTTCAAGCCATTCTGACAACAAGATTACTGGAGTAACAACAATACAATCCTCACTTCCTGCACTTGAGAGACTTTTCCTGCGTCTTGGAGCTGCTTGGGTCCAAACAGCCTTTGCTGCCCTGCAGTATTGCTGTCAAACTTTGACCTGCGAGCTGGAATAATATGGGACTGTGCACAACACCTGGAGAACTTTAGAACTTTTTTTTGGCATTGATGCTACATCTGTACTGTCCAAAGGCTCAGGATAGCAGAGCTGCTGTAAATAGTTCCTCTCCCTCTGAAAATCTGCTCATAATTCAGTGAGATATAGCTAAAGGAAATATGTGTTTGTTATCTGCTTATTCTATCTTCCAGTAAGCAGATGCAAATAGTGGTATTCAAATATTACTCCCTTCAACAGTTTGACGGCTTCATGTTTGTTCCTCTTAGCCAGAAATAACTTTGAGCAAACTCAAATCTAGGATCAAGATCTTCATGCTGCTATTTTTTGATCAATTATCTGACCGGTTTCCTTGATGAAGTGTATTTGTTGTACATACAGTTCTGTACAGATGCAAATGATTCACGCAGTGCCACAACAGCTTCACAAAATGCTGTTTGCTATGAGATAATCACTCCAACTCAGTGACTGAATGATCTCCTATTACACCAGGCACTTGGTGATAGTAGGGAGGAAGACCTCTCTTTTATTGTGAAAAAGTATTTTCTCTGATTTCTTTTCTTTTTTCACATATTTGTCACACAAGTAAATTTTAATAGTAGTCAAAAATAACCAGAATAATTACAAAATGCAATTTTTTTATGATTTCATTCAAAAAGGGAAAAGGGCTAACCCAACCAGGCTGGCACAATGTGAAAAACTGATTGCCCCCCAGTTTTTAAATCATAAATTAACTACATTTTTAGCTGATTTCAGTTTGTCTAGCTACACTGGAGGGCAGCACGGTGGCTGCCCTATGACAGCTGGGATAGGCTCCAGCACCCCCAGCGACCCTGAAAAGGATAAGCAAAAGCGAATGGATGGATGGATCGCTACCCTGGATCACCACTGGAAAAGTGGTGAACCTTCCAAGGAGGTTCATGATTGAACCATAAGAAAGAGACTGAGCAAAAATGGAATCCACTGCTGAGCAAAACGGGGGAAAAAAGGCTTCATCAAATGTTTTGATGATCCCCGAGACTTCTGATGAAAAATTCTCTGGCTTGATGAGACAGGATTGGAGTCCTGTTACATCTGACGCAAAACCATCACGGCATTTCATAAAACACCAAACCAACAGTCAAACATGGAGGTGTTGTGTGATGGTCCGGGGCTGCTTTGCTGCTTTGGGACCTGGATGACTTGCTGTAAGTGACGGAACCATGAATTCTGCTCCCAGGAGAATATCCCTCCATTACTTTGTGCCCTGAAGCCTAAGCAGACTTGGTTTATGCAGCAGGACAATCGTAAATAAACCAGTAAGTCCACCTCTGAATGGCTCCAATTACTAGTAAGGACTCAAATCCA